AGAGGTGATTAATTGTATTACCATTTAAGTTATACCAGAATGAGAAACAGAATGGGCTGGCGCTATACATGGACGGACTTTCCAGAATGAATTCATCGTCGTTGGCTGTTGGCGATGAAGTTTCAGTATAAATATAGTAACCTATAAATATGCCATAGGTTTTTGTTAATATTCATTAATTTCAATATTTAAATATTCTATGCCATATTCTATTATTTGCTGATCTTACGAAGTATCTGATCATATTTAACTAAAAAGTGCATCAATAGTACGAAGGTTTTTACATAAAAAATTTTTAAACTGGCTGTATAAGATGCTAAGACTAACTATTATTAGTCTAGCTGTAACGCCACTCGCTTATCTTAATTGTTATTTAGGACAAGCGATTATTATCTCATTACAAGTGTAAGATAGAATTAAGGCTTGCTTACGGTGGTTAACAAACCTGAAGAATTTCCGTATGTATGATCGTACGTAGGCCCTGTATTGAAACTGGGTGTTTGACCACGATGCCTTGTCCAAGCTAAAGAAGAATTACCGTTGGGTTTACGCCAATAGCAGAAATCGTACTCGAAATTGCAATTTAGTTGTCGAAGATAATCTGAGTGACATAGATGAACACACATATTATACATTACCAGAACTATAATAATAAGTTTAATAACTATATCTATGGCTTTCGTAGATTGAATCGATGTTTGCGATATAAATTCATAGAGTTAATCTAAAAATAGTGCATGTTTAACAGCTTGGAAACTTTCTCGCACGCCATTATTAGTGACATTGCTGCGAATTTATAACCCGTCAATACATCTTAGATATTGTGCATGCTGTAGATCTTATTACCTGATGATGGAGGTGTAGTCGGGTTAGTATCTATGGGGAAAAGATGGTATATTATGGTAATTATAGAAATTAAGGATTATTAATATTTTTATCGTCACTACTATAAATTTTATAGCTATCAATAATGGGTTATATAGAATCATTCTGGTGTATTCATAGTATAGACAATGGTTCCTGTTGTAAATTGAAAAGACTTGGTGCGGTATACGATAAATTTGCTATTATAAATGTTTTTAAATTTGATTATAGGTTTTCAATGGATTGTAATTATTAATATAAGACTATAAAAGTAATGAAATTTGTGTTAAATGTCATTATAAGCTGATATACTAACAGTATTGACATCTGTTGCCGTAGTAATTTCCTTGGCATCCACAGTAATAGGACGTGTTATAGTTATAACATGTACCGTTATTAAAGCAAGGATTTGAGGAACATGGATTATATGCTATAACACAAATTCAGTCGAGTGTGGTTAGAAAATACAGCAATTATAACGTTATAGCAGATTCTAAATCACACATAACATAAAGGCTTACTGTACTTCAGGTTACAAAGTTTAAATAATGAACATATACTAGCTTAGATTACATGATTTTTACCGGTTGTGGGAAATAGATAGTTATCTGTGAAAAAACAAGAAAATGTAAAAAGCAATTCGACTGTAAATATAGCAACTTGATTGTGCCAGTAAAAGTAAGTAAAACTATTTCTAATCTGAAAGATTTATCATCTTTGCACATGTTAATATGGTAGGTTAATTTTTATATACATATACTAACAGTATTGACAGTGATCTCCGTAGTATCTTGGCGAACAGGAACAACTGTAGCTAGCATTAGCGGCAGAGCACGTACCATTATTGAGGCAAGGATTAGAAAAACATGGAGCAGGTGCTACATGCGAGAAGTGAGTTGTAATTAAAACCCGTAAAATTATTCAAGAAATCTAAAGCTTCGGCTTGCACATTCATTTATTAACTACAATTTGTGCAGCCATAACGAACAGAATAAATATTTCGTAGGTATTATGTGCAATTGTAACGTGATAGATATGAGATGGAAAACTTATTTACGGTACTGCAGTACTTGAACAACAAATCTGCCTTGCGAGGGCAATACTCTTACAAAGATACGAACTTACAAGTTATGATATACCGTATGTACCGAAACTAAAACAGATTTTCAAACAATTTTCTACGAAAATTGGCCAACATTTTTATAATTCATGGTATTTATGCATATACTGTAAAATATACTGCTAATGAGTACATATTATTTATGCAATTACAGTCAATGTAATTAATTACTATCAGGATATATTGATAATATTACTCGGCGCTCATGTACGGTAGGTAGATTGTCATAGCAACTTTATATTACCGATAGACAATGCCAGATTTACGTTATATCATTATTTTATGGTAGGAAGGGATAATATGAACATGTGTCTTATAAGTTCAATATTGTACGTCATTTTCTATTATATCATTTCTCCTACCATTAGAACATTGCACGCCGACATCTTCACTATGGCCACAGTTATGTGATCCCCAACCGCGATGTGAACACTGACTAAGGGAACTTTCGTTACCTTGGCAATGCAGATCATCAAGCAAGATCGCACCGCTACCGTATCCAAAATGGCCGCAGCAGTAATATCTTACGGCTGATAAAAAGCCTAATTGCCTGCATGCCACGAAAGCGTCTGTCATATCGAAATGATCATCGCAGACTGTACCCCAAATACCATTGCGATATATTTCCAATCTACCTGATGTACTATCACCATTTACTAGTCGAATTTCATTTTCTGTTGTTAGCATTGTAGAATAATATAAGAAAATGAGCAGAAATTAATATCAGAGAATATTATTACAAAGGGAATGGATACTTGCAATTGAAAGCAGCTTAAGTATTTTGAGGGCTATATCTATCTACTAGCTCAAGTTTAACTTTCAAAGCATTAATTGGAATAAAGGGTTTTATCACACGTAGTATCTCCTTTCATGGATGAAGTAAAAGTACGAGTATGGCTTATATATCCGTCGATTTTACACTATTTTACGTAGCTATTTAAAAAAGTATATCTAGCGCTTGATTCAGGCAGTGCCTACATGATATAGATTCCTGCTCTTGAACCATTACAATACAATAGTTCAATTAATATGCCTTTAAATGAGACGTCTAAAAGATCAAAATAGGCCTCACCAATTCACTTATTCATATGCGAAAACTGGAAGTATTCTATTTCTTTTACGTACAAAAATTGTGAACGATTTAATCAATTTTATTTGGAAACTCAATTAATCTTGTAACTGGATACAGAAGCATTAATAACTTACCACAATGTCCTAGTGTTGCTGATACATCATCGATGGCGATATCGCCTGTAAAGCTGCTGCCAGCAACTCCGATGAAGTGGATCTATTATTACATAATTGCAGAAGTTATTTCCCAGATGTAAAATATAAAGTGAAACATATAAACCATATTTCATGTAATCAATAAATACAGTGTACAGTATATATCTATAAATACAGTAGCTATAAATATGATTGGAGTATTCATATCTTGGAAGCTATGGCATAAGCTAGAAAAAGCGTGTGTGGTGAATATGTTTTTAATAGCCGATATACCTTTACAATAAGTATATACGCTACCTTATGAGTGCCAGGTTGAAGGGTGGTTCTATATTGATACCATACATCTCCTCGATTGCCACTGATTGTGACTATATGATTATTAATATCTTCTACTTGTAGTTGGCCGATAGTATCTCCGTTCATATTATACCAGAAGCCAAAACAAAATGGCTGATTAATGTAGATCGCATTACTCTCAATAACAAATTTGTCTCCTTTAATGCGTGGATAGGATACCTCGGTATAAATGTAGCAACCAGCTATTTAAATCAATAAGAGTATACATTTAAAATGAAGTAGTAATACAACTTTTAAAGTGCACGTATAATCAAAGTAGTCGATACAAATGATGCGATAAGCTCAAAATCTATATCTTTGATAAAATATATCTTAGCCAATATCGCTTTCAATTCGGAACAAATCTTATACATTTTTGTAGCCTTATTCACTACACTAGTATATATCAAGTCTAAAGAGTAAATTATTGTTGTAGTTATCGCTACTCAACTTGATTGTGATCCAAAGGTATGATCATGAGAAGGACCGGTAACAGCAGATGGTGTATGCCCATATCTTCTAGTCCATTGAAATACATGGCTATGATTAGCGCTACTTGGGTAGCGCCAGTTGCAAAAGTTCGATTCAAAATCGCAGCTTAGAGCGCTGATAACATCTGCGATTGAGGAGGTTAAATACCAGTGCAGTAATTAAAAGTCAAGTAATTGCTGATTCTTCTATATAAATCCTGATAAAGATCGTAATTTTTATTGTAGATTATTATCTTGCCATGCATCTTTACTTACTAGCTGGCTCTACAGTATGAAAAAAGAAAAGTGTAAGTATTAGAAAACTGAAATTATTTTAACAAATAGATCGAGCACAAATTTAAGTTTTGGGAATAACCGATAAAAAGTGGGTTATTTCCCTACCTTGAGTTGATGGAGTGGATGGATTAATATCTATATTGTTGCCGTCAATGCCAGTTTAATTATAAAAGATAGCAAAATCATTCCAATAAGAACTATTAGGTTTTGCACGATTGTGACCCCAAATTGAAGTTGAAATAAAACGAAGGAATAGCCTTGCTAATTTTCAAATGATTTAAAAGACGATTTCTTTACTCACAGTACTGACATCGATTTCCGGTGTAATTGCTATTGCAGTAACAGGTATACGTGTTATTAAAATTGACGTAGCATACGCCATTATTATAACAAGGATTGGATGAGCATGGGTCATAATCTATGAATTTAATAAGAAGAAGCACATATGTTATTAGTATTCTGAAACTTAACAATAGTAAATTTATGCCAGACAGATTGAAAATAAAAGGAGTAATTGAGCCCAACAATAGAGTAAAAATGCAACTAAAAACCTGCATATTAAGTTTTAGATATTTGCAATCAGTTAACGTAACTATACGGAAATGACTTACCGTGCGTAGGCCCTTCTGGTATTGGCGTAGCACCTAAGTTATATGATTACAGATAATTAATTAATCATAGAACAACCGTTAGCGATAAATTTGTTTTAATGGCAAAAAGCCATTTAAAGTTTAGAAATGTAGAATAATTCATATCTAGTGGTGTTATAAGAGATTTTATTTATTGATATACCAGCAAAGCAACGTAAATTAACATCTTCTCTATGATTGCAATTGTGATGTCCCCAGTAATTATGTCTGCATGCCGCTAAATTACTCTCCGAACCATTGCAGTAGACATCATCTAGCCAAATTACACCTTGTCCTGAATTTTGACCATTACTGTAGCTGATGGCACTGACGAAACCCAATTGCTGGCAGACAACATCAGCATTGGTCATACTGAAACCATCATCACATACAGTACCCCAGACACCTTTATAAAATACTTCTAATCGCCCAGAATCATGTCCACTACCACCAACCAGCCTGGCAGGAACGTAATTTACTACAATGAAGGAATAAAATAATTGATCAAAAATAGCTACGTAAGTTTATCACCTTTATCTCCATATGATTATTTCGAGAAGCATACCGTAATTATGGATTTCATTCACTTACCATCACGACAGACTACACCAACATCTTCGTGGTGGCCACAATTGTGATTTCCCCAACCTCTATGGCTGCAATTTGCAATGGTTTGTTCATTACCACGGCAAGCTACATCATCAAGCCAAATTGGTCCTTTGCCGGTACCGAAATAACCACTGTTATAAGAAGAAACGGCATACATAAAGCCAAGTTCTTTGCAAACAACCCCAGCATCGATAGAACCAAAGTTATCATCGCATACAGTACCCCAGGTACCTTGATATAAGACTTCTACACGTCCAGAGGCGTAGTTGGGCCCATTAACAAGTCGTAAATCAAATCTACCGGCTTTGAATAGGGTCAAGAAACGGATATAAATTTTAATTTACTCCTGCTATTAGAGCGCTGTATACAATTTTTATCTTAAAACGTAATAAATTGACGCCTTATGTAAGAACTACATGGGATTCTTTAAGGAATACGGTTCGAAATGAATGCAATATAAGAATTTATATCTTAAAATGTAATAAATTGACGCTTTATGTAATAGCTGCGTGAAATTCTTATAGGAATACGGCTCGGAAAAGTAATATTTATGTAAGTTAATAATTCTAATTGGCTCGCATAGGCTTAAATAGCGTACCAAATCTATATTACACACGTAGTATCATTATTTTATGTAGCATGGACAAATTAATTATCAAGATCTTTCGCGGAATACTGTATGTAATCAAAGCCTAAAGACCCTTACGAGTGTTAATATCAATAGGTTCGTAAAGCTATATAGAATAGCAACTAACACTTCAACTACAATCAGCTATCTGCTTGATTTATTAGAATAATATGCTATTAAATCTATGTTACAATCTAAATTGTGAACGTTTTTCAGCATTGCTCTATAGTATAACAGTTAATACTTGAACAACAATCAGCTATCTGTTAAATTTATTTCGAATTTTTAGCCATTAAAACTAGGCTATAGTCCAAATTCTTGAACCTTATTCAGCCCATCTAAGTGAACTAAATTGGATCCATTGTAGCTACCGAATCATTACAATTATATTTATCGCACTAGTAATTACTATTTATCAGCAATTTTACCATATTGGCAATTGTTTCCGTAATAATTTCCAGAACACACGCACATATAGGTATTATTATGAGACAAACATGAGCCACCATTGTAACACCTAACAGAAGAGCAAGAACTATTTCCTGTTGAAAAATAAGAATTACAGCGTCAAGATCGTATATGCTCAGCTTAAGATTAAGATATCCTTAATAATAGGTAAGTGCAATAAACCTGTAAGATTTCTTGGTGGAGTTGGAGCTATTGTCATAAATAAATGGTTAAAAAATTTAATCGTTAAAGTCTCTTCTATCGTTCAATTTATCTATGCTGTATTTTCATAATTTACGATTAGAATCGAAATCACTTGTCTGCATTTATCTTGTATTAGTAGGATTAATATTTAGCATTGCAAATTTATAATTACATTTAAATGTTAAATGGCTGTATAGAAATACTTGCGAAATAGATCTAGTACCTCCGCCGTAATATATCTGCTATTTTAATTTAGTTTAAGCTAAGATTGAACAACAAATAGAATATAATGGATAGAACGACTTACTATAAAAGGCAGTTGGAACTGGCGTAACAGTTGTACTGTTATAATAAGCTATATCCAAGTTGTAATTCATCATTAGTTCTTTCTCTTATGAAATATATGGGCACCAAACGAAATGTTATCTAAAATGAAAACTTACGATTACACGTGATGCTAACATCTTCTCCGTGTCCACAATTAGTATAAGCGAATGGTCTGTGGCTGCATTGATCAAGAGATGATTCGTGGCCTTGGCATTTAACATCATCCAGCCAGATTGGCCCAGACCCAGGTCCAAAAACCGCACAACAGCCTACATTAACTGCTCCTGTATAACCTAATTGGCGACAAGCAACATCAGCGGTAACTCTGTTGAAATAATCATCGCAAACGGTTCCCCATTGGCCCTTGTGACGAACTTCTAGACGACCTTCATGAGGTAGTCTTCCCCCAGCAAGACGTATAGCGAAGGAATCTAATTTGAGATTAAGATTTTAGATAATATACAAGTATCCCAGCAGGAAAATGGATATAATTTTTAATTTATATAATATACTGGGCTTACTTGATTGAAACGGATCCCAGTTGGATTCAACTACAATTAGTGATAGAAAATAGTAAAATCCTAAGTAACTTTTATATTGATTAATTTCTTGCTCATCGTTTCTACGTAAAAATTTATAGCTGCGATACTAGAAATGTTGTAAGTCGAAATATTATATAACGCATAATCACTCTTACTTGTACACACAACACCAACATCTTCTGAATGTGCACAATCATTGCGATACCACGAATTATGCTGGCATTGGGTAATGGATGATTCATCACCATTGCAAAACACATCATCTAATAGGATAGGTCCAGCACTTTGTCCGTAGGCAGCACAACATCTGGCTGCCTGAGCAGAACTGTATCCGAGTTGTCTGCAGACAACATTAGCAGTACTGATATTGAAATAGTCATCGCAAACGGATCCCCATGTTCCTTGATAATAGACTTCGACTCGACCTTGATTAGGAGTATTCCCACCAACTAGACGAACCTGACCTATCAATACCAGCAGAACAAGGTATAAAACAGTTATAAAGTATAACTATTTGTGATCTGATCGACCTAAGGCCATGCCCATAGACAGCTTATTAACGTTTTTAATTAATATAAATGAAGGGACATTATTTACTGCCAAAAGTGATATTAAAAAACATACGTTTGGGCTTGTTCTTGCAATAATTGACTAGTTAATGTTATTTAGTAATAAGAATTGTAAAGAAAAGATTGATTTCTTTTGATCAACAAGTTGTCAGAAATTCAACTTTTAATATTTAGACGATAACTCTAGTTGACTGTTTATTTAATGATAATTTGATATTATTTGCATAGTCCGGAAGAAAGTAAGAAAAAAACATTTCAATGTTCTAGATCGTTGAGGAAAAGTTCTTGATTAGATCAAAATCACGGCGGATCAAATTCAATTAGGCACCAGCAAAACTGCAAATTTAGTTCCATTTTTTCTCGCAAATTACATCCAGTTTGGATATAATTTAATTTAATCTTAATCGCTTTTCAAAAGGATTAAAATAGTAATTTATTTTGGATCATGAGATTAAAGTAATTATAATAACAATTACAGCTGGTAACGTCAATGTTGATCTTGGCATGAAAGGTCGAGAATTAACGCACTTGACGAATATTTAGAATGAAATTATTCAAATAAATGTCCAAAAAGATCAAATCTTTACTAGAATTTATTCATGTCCTGACAGCTTGCAATCGGATATAAAGTAGTGGAATTTTAATGACTTGACAGTAGCTCATCACGAAATGTAGCCTTTAGAATTGAGGCAACATTAGGATTTGGACACGTTTTCATGATTATTTTAAAATTTTCACTTTCACTCAAGTTTTACTTTCTTATATAATTATAGACAACTAGATTTTCATACTAAAAGATAATTACCAAGTTATACCGCATTAATAAATTTCGCAATTGTGATTTACTTTTGATAAGCCAGTAGAGCAGAAAAATTATTTCACTACGTCGAATGTTCTCATATTAAAATACACTTAATTATCACTCTGAATCTTGTAGAATCTATTCATGGAATCCGCTAATTCATACAGACTTATTTTATCAAAGCAGTAGGAGAATTTCATGATTATTTCAGTCATGAGCTTTTTTTAGAATAACAGCAATTGTCTACAAGCTTTAATTTAATAGTTATAAACGATATATTCTCTCGTTGAGGCGGTAACTTTTAATTATAGCTATACTTAACTAATCTATTTTAATCTATGCCAGACTTAAATCTTTGATATTATTTGCGAATGAAAGCTTGATAGCCGAGAAACTCTATATCAGTGTGTGTGTTAAGATGATCTGTATTAAAAATTACAAATGAAAATGGCGCGGATGAAATTACTGAAATCTTCCGAAAGATTTGTGTGAAGGCTAGGAAGAAGAATATATCATTTTCGACTATTAAATTAAGAAGAATAGATATTTAAACGAAATAATTAAGGCATAGGTAAGATAGATGAGAACTACATTGGCATTTAGAGTTGATTTTTTAGAAAAAATATTTTTCGTAGTGACTTTACGTAAAGCTTTTGAACATAAAATAGTGTGCAATTAATTTTAACAAGGTTTCAACGAAATAATTCTAGCAATAAAGGAAAGATAGCAACATGTGGTAGTTCTTATATCGATGGAAAAATTTAGTTAACGTAGAAATATGTAATTGATGTATGGTCTTAGCTATCTATAGTATCTATATAGCTTTAAAATATCATTTACATTAGCTAATATTAGATACCAAGATTATATATTAGTATTACCACATACCGTTGCTTTGACTTGAAACATAGCCTATAAAGCAAAAGAGCACTATTAATAGACGCATTTTGGTAATCTACTTTCCTCAAAGTGATTACCCTCCGTATGAACGGGCCCTAACAAAATAACATCTTATATTATGTGAGATCATAAGATTTGTAACTAATTTAAATTAAATTTTATTCTTGACGCGCCCTGTTTAGCAAATAAATCTCCATGTTGACATAATATTAATGTATTATTCCATAGCTGATTTCTTTGTATTGTATAGAATATGAGATTAATACAGGTAGTAATCATTAAAAAGAGCGGAAAAATAAATTATCCTTAATTATGAGATAACAGTATTCAATTCAATACTTGTTCTATTCAGCGAGAGCACGTTTCTAGTTATTATTCAAAATAATAATGTAATAATTTATCGATAGTAATGATGTTATTAAAGCTAATCTAATTATAATAAAGGTTAATTGGCTTACGTAACTTGACTATTAATTTTAGTTAGTCGATTAATAATAATGAACTGTCGATTATACCAGTATTAAGAACACTGGTTATCCATTTTGTCTTAAATTATTAATATTTCATCTTCTTCACGTTAGTTATTCAATACGTTAATAGGGTCAGACAGTAATTCTACTACGGAATTTGACAAATACTTCAATTCTATCGATTGAACGAATTTAATATCGTCATTAGAGAGTTTGATCTGGTCTAATATTAAGTCTTACAGGATGATGATGATTCAATCAGTAATATACTATTGCAGTTTCTGTTCTAGTTTGATATTTAGATCAAATGTCTTTACTGAAAGTAGTAATATCCCCGGAAGTTTAAGTATCTACGCAAATAAAGTATTACAAATACGTTCTATGAATATTTTACCTGATTTATGGCCAGATATGCCAGACCTTTTTGTATTTTAAGTGGCCAATCCATTATAAAGTGTTTGCTTATTGACTATTTTAATGTCTATCATGACCATTATAACAATTAATGAATCATGCATTTTTCAATAGAAAAAATTTTAATTGCCATGTGATTTTAAATTCATTCAAACGTAAAGATTTTTATATTACTACGATAACTAAATCTCTATTCCATAATTTGATGTGAAATGGTCAATTAGTGGCTTTTACATGGATAAAATTGACAGTTTGGAAAGACACTAGATGATAACTACGATTCAATAAATCAAAGCTAAAGGAATTACCATATCGTAGGCGGATAGATATGCGAGTTATTTTACCTCTAGAGGCGTCATAAATGTACATAGCAATAAAAATTGTATTAGCATGATTGACTGTAAAGGTGTTGATTTTGCTGTCATCTTCTGAATGATGGTGTACTTAATATTATTAATGGTTGAATCATAAAAGAAATTGTACTGAAACTGATGAATATTAATGAATATGATTAATAACTTTAAAGTATTTGTAATTACTCCAACTTATTGTTTTATAGAAGAGCATTCATTAAAGACTAATCTAGAAGGTACTAGGTCGATTCCTTATTACTTGAGATGCAAAAACTAAATTATTCAGTGAACTTTTAAATTATTTTGTGGTTTGAAGTGAAATTGCTATTTCATTCTTACAGACTCCTAGGCTTAAAGTGATATATATGAATAGATATACGGAATTCTATATGGAGATAATGTTAGCGAGATTAACAAACTTAAATAGCTATTGATTTTAGTATCATGATGATATAATAGTGTTGTCGACTAAAAGTATTTGAACAATGTAATCAGTTGTCATCTATTGCTGCATTTGAAAAGATAGATGATAATTCATGGTACATTTATGTTAGTAGAAGTTTCTACTGTGCTAATTAAGAAGCTATAGTTACTCGTAAGATATTTGAAGATATTTTTGCCAGTTATTTATAAAGTGAGGCCATTCTGTAATAAGTTCCTCTCTTTCTTTACATTAAACTTCTTATAAATTGTAATAGCAGCTATTACTATCCGCTGATATTTTCTTTAGATTTGTAATAAACTACAGTAGAATAAAATATCTGATAATAAAGAGTAAAGATCACATTATTCTATGGCTTACACCTCGATTTTCAGCTGTGTGACTATACAACTACTGTATCCTAACAATTAAGTAATGGCCAATTTTTATTCACACCCAACATTTTTTTCTTACGTAATTATTTATAAATAAATTCAGTATACACTAGTCGTTCATTGAAAATAATTTGATCAATTAAAATGGCATAGATAATGTTACATAGGTTTATATAAACTGATAATTCGGTAATATTATTCAAATTGCTTTCTATTGATTGACATAATCAGAATAATGGTGTTTGCATTTAAAGTTAAATAGATAATAAGAAAAATGACTGGTATTAGATGATTATAATATAACAATATTATTAAAAGGATCATAAGTTATTGCTTTTTCCTAATCAAATTAGATCTTAACAAGGTCATATTGGATCATGGCAGTCATTATAGGTATTGAAAGATAACAGAATTGAGATAAACGCAATTTTTAATCAAGATTTACTAATAGTATCAGAGTAAAGTAAATTGTCATGGATTGCATGCCGCATGGAATTCAATTATAGTAACATAAATTTGCCATATTGTCATGTAAATATTAATGCAACCATTGGTAGTGGCGATAAATGAGAAGTAGAATAAAGGTTCAGTCTGCTCGAAAGGTCATATTACTATCGAAGTGATGATATTGGTAATGATGGCGACAACGAAAACTTAATTGTTCAAATATTGCTATTTTTTCTCTATATTGATGATTGTTCTACGATAACTATTATCGTTATACCAGCTAATTAGACTTCTAAACCATTGTAATGTCGTTTATTATTTTTCGATTTGTGATTTCGGTCATATGCTATAGTTTTAGCTCATAACCACCAAGGTGATCTATGCTGTGATTAATACTGAAAGAGCACCGTAACGACTTACATGATAAGCCTATCTGATTGATTCTCTTAACACTTCTCAATCATTATTGCAGGGATCAGTAGAATTTAAACCTATTCCAGTACATCTTTGAATCAAGTCTCCACCATGATTCGTACAGCATGAGCTAATATTGATATATCATTCATACCTGATATTTAATTTCATGATTGTTTACGCCCTATTAAATGAATTATTCAGGTCAGGATTATTAATTATATAATTATGGTTGAACATTCCAATGGGTAGCATAGCATTCAATCTAAGAATTAAAAGGTTGCTAAGGAGTTTGTATCAAGAAGAAACTTCATCATGGGAGTAGATCTATTCTGGAGCTTTAAGTGGTTTATGTATGCTTCATTAGTTATGCAAAACTACTCTTGTTGTTTAACAACGTAGACTGAATTACTCACAAGGATTACTTCCATCATTTCTTGTTTTATGTTGATCCGTCAATTAGATTTGTTACCACATTAGAAACTGAACCAGTAGATTTAGATGACGATTACGTGATATAATAAGCTGATTTTCTATGTAATCCAACTTATTACAAACCCAACTGCCGAGTTACCTCTCGACTCATAAAATTTCGTATATGTACGTGATGTATCGAGCGCAAAAATAAGCCAAGCTCCGCTATTACCCGCTAAGTGCACTTAATAATAACATTGTAATAATTTTGTATAAGCCAGGCCCTAGTAAAGTTGCAATCATCGCCTAGTGTGGGAACTGCAACACCTAGGAAGAGTTTTAATCAGCCGTATAATATAATTATGTTACAGCTACCACGTTGTGAGTAGAATAGTAGAGTTATATTGCTAGCGTTAATATGATCAATGAGTGAATACAGGACTTCGAAAAACTTTCTGATAGTGCAGCGTAGTTACGGCTATTCTTAAGAGGTTACGAGCAAGGCAAAGAATTATTTGCATTATTGATTGATAATTGTAAGAAATATGACCACAGTCTATTTATCTATGTATGTCAAGATACCATAAGAAATTAATTTTAAACTCTATGTAGGATCTAATACGAACTTAAGCTAGCACTGGATTTACATCGCCGCAGCTATAATCGATTACTATTCATAGCATATTGATAGATCTTAAAATGTTTCTTTCGTTATAAAGCGAAATAATATTGTAAGACGAAAGGTACAAATAAATTAACGAATTCTTTTCTAGAATTCACAAATAGAAATCGCTAAAAATGAGTAAGTTGATTCTGAAAATTTTACTAAAGCGGACGTACTAATAGACACTGAATACAAAAAATGAATAAATCTTTACGTCTAACATGCATATTATCTTATTCTTAATCATTTAAATCATAAAAAATTGCCATATATCTTTTTGGCATCTCATTCCTTTCATACTTGTATTTAATGCATGTGATATATTATGAGGGATTTGTTGCAAAAATTTTATCACGCTACTGTGTAAATAGAGATATCAGTACGCAGTTCCAGACTTTGAGGGTCAATTTCTTATTAATAATGCATATCATTGTCACGTTCTGTATAGTTACATAATTAGTATGTTACCTTCTTTCTATATATGGTTAAATATCACGATGTTATCACGTCAGGCGTATATAGATGTAGTTATGGTACTATATTAAGGTTATCTATATATGTATTCTCATGTTGCCATACTTGGCATGATAGTCTATTTGTAATGTCTAAACTAGGGAAACCTTTCTGTTAGTGATGATCTTGTGATCTACGTTAGTAGATCAAAGGTCACAATAAAGAAAGTATATAAACTCTTCATTTTAACAATAAAGTTAGTTCTTCAACTTAATTACTGGGTCTCCTTGCTGAGTGCAGATCTAGTACTTGTTACAAAATTTGGAAGTTGTAACAATCATATTCCTATATTTACAATCGATCCAGAACTTTTACTATAACTGAAGTAAAAGTAGACAGCCAGAGAAATACTAGACTTGCGAATAGCACATTAACCTCTCATGTTAATATCCCCGATAGTCAAGGCCCAGATTTTATTATTAAAATAGAATGCCATATTTTGGCCACAAATTGGATTATCATAGTTAATCGGGATTAATTAGATGTGAAATTTTTTCAGGGTAAACATTGAGATTTTAATACACTGTCCTTAATTTATGCTTCTCATTATTACTAGTTAATTGAACCAGCATGCTGTTCCAGAAAAATTCTACTAGTACAGATACTATTGTTGCGAATTTGCTGTGAACTACAGCGATTATTGATGTTTGTGACGAATCTTATTTATTCTGTTACTCAAGTATGTATTTCAACAAGAATTTTGTAGTCTAAATTCTAGAGTCTGTTAACAGCGATAGAAATACGGTATACCATGCATGAAGTTGCTGGTCATAGTTAATATTTATTCGTTCTTCTAAATTCTATAGTTAATTTTGGATAACATTTTACTAAATTACAGCTACATGTATATGTACGGTCTTTCTAGTTTAGTTGTAATATAAGCATATCATATAATTTAAATAGTACTTTAAACTAATGTATTAAACATGAATATTTTGCTTTGAATTCTAGTGCAAAATGGATAAAATGAAGCAGCTTCCTAAGTTAAAATTCAATCTTAATAGTATTGATTGCATTATATCGTACTAGCTAAATTCACTATACACATTTCTCTCAAATAAACTATAACAATAATAAACTAATTATTTCTAATTATACATTTTACGTAGGTACTAAATAATTTTTCCTTCAATGCTAACGGTTTGGTCTTGAGCCTTCCTTTCATATTACGGACTATCGTCATCGTCGTCGTTCTTATTATCTCGTCGGTGTTGTTCATATTCCATTCTCATCATCCTTAAAAAGTTCATATCCTCATGATTTCTATTTCTACCAGCACGTAATTCACTGGCCAGCTTTTTAATATCATGGTCTAATTTACGTTTACGGCTAGAAACTATATTTTTAAATGTAAGAAAGCACTGATTTTAGATCTCGTATATCATTCACAATAATTCGGTGAATAATCTAATGCTACCCTTATAATGATGACAGTGTTACAAAGTACATTTAATATTAATTTTACTACGATACTTGACATGTTTTTAATAGATAAGGACGTGCATACTTTTAAAATATTATCTGCACATTGATAACTAATGTTTTTGTGGATGTTCCATAAATTGACTAAATTTTTTATGAAATTTTAGTTTAATTTTGTCTAAGAGAGACTAGTGGTGTTACTATTCCTTTAACGATAGGCGATTGTTAGCATTTAGAGTCATACTGAGAGTGCTTAATTTTATGTGTTATAGTATCTAAAATTTTTTGGTGTTGCATGACTAAATGAGTGAGGCATCGTAGTAAAAAAGTAGCAAATCTTTCTTTCTGTAATTATTAGAGTGCCAAAAGTTAAGTTTAGAGACATAGAGTGCTGCCCAAATACAATTTCTTACATACTATATAATGTGCGATGAGATCAAAATCGAATATCAGTAGAGTTAATACTAAGATGCGGTAGCGTATTTGGTTCAGTATTTTTCTTTAAGCATTTCAATCGATTATTTATTGTAGTCCAGCAATTGCTTACCTTGGCAACGAACCCCAGCATCTTCAGTATGTTGACAGTTATTAACACCCCAGCCGTTATGAGAACATTCTAGTATAGAATTCTCAGTGCCAACGCAATAAACATTATCCATCCAAATCGTGCCAGTGCCAGCGCCATAAGTACCACAACAAACAGCTTCTGAGACTCCAGTAAATCCAAGTTGCTTACAAACGATACTAGCATCAGTATTAGTCCAACTATCGTCGCAGATAGTTCCCCAACTTCCATCATGATACACTTCAACTCTTCCATAATCCGCTCCACCGTTAACTAAGCGAACCTTGGCTAAAAATGATGAGAACGCGATGATTCATTATTGTCGATGAGCTCTAAATACCTTGGTACAGTATTTATAGACGAATCTATCCAATGCTATTAACGAAAGACTTATACAGTATAGAAGTTACTAGCAATTAGAATAGCAGTAAGAATAATATCCTAGTCCATTTTACTATTTACAGTGCAGCACTAATCAAGTAAAAACTATCCCATAATAAAAGGAACAAATACTTAACGATGTAAATTTAAATATCTGCAGTTAAAAAGAACAAATATCAATGGACTGAATAGTCTGATGTCGACAAAATATATTGATAGAGATTTATTAGTTCATGAATTATCAAACCTTGGCATACAACTCCTGCATCTTCATTATGATTGCAATTGGTTTGACCCCATCCAGAATGAGAGCAGTCTTCAATTTTATTTTCGTTGCCGTTGCAAGCGACATCATCCAAGAGAATAGTACCTGTACCTGCACCGAATCCTCCATTTCTGATAGCTGCAACCGCCCCTGGATAGCCTAATTGACGACAAATTACTGTAGCATCATTGATATCCCAGATATCATCGCAGACTGTACCCCATTCGCCGCCATAGTAAACTTCTACTCGCCCAGACGTACTATTGCCGTTAACTAATCGAACCTGGACATCTTTTAGATAAAAGATATCAACGAAACTTAGAATGATGATGAATAAAATTAGTATATCCATGATTTAATTTAATCTGACTTGATCCAACGTCTATTATAACTGTTTATAATTTATCTTTAAAGTTAGATTATACAACTATCATATTAAATAATACAGTACCCAATCACATACCGTATAATCTAGATAAATTTCAGATATAAGTACAACATAAATTGAAACAAGTTAAAGCTTAAAGCGTAATTTTATAAAATCTGTTACAAATCATTATATAAATTAATATAATGCCTTTTGTCGCATACGATGTACAGTACTTGGCATCAATAAATATCTTTTATCAAGTTAAATTATGTGACCTTTAAAGATATGTATAAACAGCCATATCCGTATACAACTTAAATAATTTCAGCTACATGCAAATAATAGAAGTATAATATAATGGGCTACAGCTATTTGATGATTATTGTTTTAACTTACTGACAAAGGTTTGACAGTTTTGGCCTGAGTAATCATTAGTACATGTGCAGGTATAGTTTTGAGCATTAACCGGTACGCAAGTTCCACCATTAAGACAAGGACTGGCATCGCATGGATTATTGCCTTTATAAAGATGGTTTGGAATTTATCTATGCTAGTATTTAGTTATTAGTGAGCTTAATTAATTAAAGTGATGACAATATCAATATCTTACATAATTGGTTAGTAACTGTTACATCATCTAGGGCAATATCTCCTTGTACTCCATTTCCCCTCACTGCACCAATATAGATCTAAATGATGTAAAATAAATTGATTAGTTGCCCAGAAATGATCCAAGTTCAACACTTATGTCATAATTTAAAACGTACACTATCTCGTAATATTTAATACTAGGTTCATTTATCTACGGCTATTAGAAGTTGCAATTCGGTAAGATGTTTTAATAGTAAGCAAAAATTTCTACTTTCATTCTCATTACCGTGTAGTTTAGGTAGCTACTACTAATGTCAATTTCGGCCAAATTCCATTGTCGTCCTTGATTACCTACTTTATTCCATACTTTGCCAGCATTGGAGATAACTACAAAGAGCTCATTAACATCTTGTCCGTACATATTATACCAAAACCTTAAACATCTGGTTTGAGCGCTAGTTATGAGAGGGCTAAATAAGATTGCCCGATTATTAGCAGCATAAGATGCTACATTAGCTAAAGCGAAAGTGCCTAGAAGTTCAAAGCGAGAATAGATCAACTATTGGACATTAGTTGTCGTAATTAATGGTTGTAAATTGATATTTTACCTGAGACATTGGTGAAAGTATGATCAAATATAGGTCCTGTATCAGGGGTACAACTCATCGCTTGCCTACGACTCCAATCGAAATCGTCGATGATCATGTTTTTCCACTGGCAAAAATCGCTTTCAAATCCACAATTTAACTGCACTGCGTCGCTAACTAAATTGAAAATTAATGCAATAATTGTATAATTGAAGATCTAAGCGATTTAATTCACGATCTATATTATTATCACTATTGATCTTGGTCGATCGATTATTAAATATTCGTCGTAATTATAATTTTACAGTTAATACTAAATCATTTTTTAAAGTATCAACTACCTTTAAGATTTCTTAAAATTATAGTTACACTAATATTTACTTGTATCACTAGCGTAATTATTAATAGCATTATTGATATCATCTTCTCTAGAACAGGGTTTCCCCAAGAGTGTATTTCAACTATGGTTTAATCCTAGAACTAGCTTTTACTGATCCTTCTTGTTCCATATTATTAAACAGGATATTTCTAGTACGCTACTTTGTTTCATTGTCAATTATATAGGAAGTATTTTGCTACTTTTGTATTCATAATACTATTGAAGCCATTTCCGCTTTATTATACTACCAAATAGGGTCTTTCTACTATACTGCCCCGATTCATTATCAATTGTAACCTTTGTATTTACAATAAAAAGGAATATTATTGATGCTATTTCCGCATTTCCCTGCTATATTATAATATGTCATTTCTACTATGTGGTCTTGACTAACCTTCAATAGCACTGCTTATTATATAACCAATACGCTAATTCTCGAATTCACTTTCTATGTAATCCAGCAAGACTATTTATATCGCACTATATTGATTGATCACCGATTATATATCTCTTTTAGCTATCCTTAATTAGTATTCTGAAATATGACTTAATAAAATTACTCACGTGCACTTTGTTGATCAAGTGTAAGGCCAAGTTGCTGTAAATCTTGGCTCGGAAAACCTATTTAAGATTAAAGAAGGTAAAGTCCATAAATTATTATCAATTTCATCAAGCATGATGACCAATTAGAAAGTCTGTTTAAGGTCAAAGATCTTAAAATCTATGAATTATCAATTTCATCTAGTATGATGATCAATCGGAAAACCTAATTAAGATCGAATATCGTAAAAGTCTATCAATTATCAATTTCATCAAGTCTGGTGATTAATTTTCTTCTATTTGCGAACAGAAAAATTGTTATCGTTGTATAATTCAATAGACTACCTATTCAATGTTTACATAAGTCGCTCTGTTACTCTACGATTTCCATAACAACATGTACGGTAGTTGAGCAATATCATCTTCATCATCAAGATACATTTAAATGCATTTAGTAAGTCAACCAAGCGTGCATTAAAGAAACGGTGACGAAAATAAATATATCAATCATAGCCTAATATCACTAATGGATGTGTTGGCAGGTCCTTAATTTTGCAGTGGAAAAGTTGACAAATCAAATTCTTGTGATCCAGTCTAACCCTCAATTGTTATTCTGATGTTTAACCCTTATCGTACTAATGAACAGCCATGAAAATTTCTTGGTTTACATCGCCAGTAACATTACAGGAAGAGATCATTAATTATTTATTAATCATGTCTGAAATGTGTGACTGAAATTGATTCAAGTCCTGCATATTCAATATCATCGTTGACATTTTTATTTACGTGTTATATTTACATTCTAGAAAAAAACCTCAATGCAAATTACATAAATTTCAACCTATCTGTTTGATGAGAAGAATGGGATTAAAAGTAGCGATCAAGAATAAGAGGGGCTACGGTACTTTGGTATTATTTATTGACAGACTTTGAAATACTCTAATTGCTATTACGTTGATATCGACTAGGACAAATTCTCAATCTACCATTTAATAAACAATATCACCATTAATGTTGCACAATAAATATATCTATCAAGCTAATCACTTGAAGAATAAACATTAAAAACATCTAAGGGAAGATCTAGCAAGAATAAAGCAGCACTAAAAATAGACACACTTAGATCTATCAGCTCGATCGTTTGAAGAATACGAAGTATACAATTCTCCAAGGACATCCCATAAGAATTAAAGTGATTTTAAATAGCTAAACAACAAATTTCTTGAGGTTAACTTATGCTACCATGCCGTAAATAGTGATCACTAAAGTTTGGAAGTTATTTATATGATAAGGAGGGATATGAGCTTTAGTAATTCAGTTTTAACTGCTTATATTTAATAATGAATTCATCATGCCTGCACAGTTCGCTATTGAACATGTCAGATTGTGTGAAATAAATTGACGAAACAGGCTTCATAATAATCATACTATACTCTGATCTTATAGGTGTATTACACAATCCTATTCTCGTCGCTATACCATAAATTTCATTCTTGTAGGTGATAACGATCAGTACTACTCCTTTATAATCCTGTTATAAGATTTAGGCAAGATCAATTTTCTTATAGCAACTCGCAGTATTTAATACCTTCATCTGTCTAGTTGCTACCTTAATTTTTATTTCCCATAATATACGACGTACTGCGAATAGCGATATACTAGCCCGCATTTAAATTTTTAGTTATTTCATACTTTCAGTTCAGCCATTGACAGATCTAAGTAAATTATGCAACTAGATCTTTCGTTGATTAATTAATTTTTGAACTCTAGATCCTTAAAAATGACTGCACTAGTCGTGAAGGCATCTTTACCTGCTATATATAAAGTTGAAACCTTTTAAGGTAGTGCCTTTCAAGGAGATAATCAGATCCATCACATTAATTTACGACCGTGGGGACATTTCTAGCTTGATTATATCATTAGATTTCAAAATAGTTGATGAATAAACAAGTCATTAAAACTTAAGTTTGTAATAATATCGGTAGTATTCATGGAATAGAAATATGACAAATGAATAAATAATTATCGATTCTAATAATTCTTTTAAAGCGGTTCATGAACGGAAAAAAATCTTGCTTAGATTTTTCGATTAGCTTAGAATTTAAACAATTTTATCACCATTATTGATGTATCCTTCGGTAAATGAATGAATTTGTGACTTAATGTACCGGCAGCAAAAATTATTTACCGAACTACTGTAAAATACAAACTAACTTGAATCGATTTGAATACGTTTACGCATTCCTTAACTTAAAAGACTTCTCAATCTTTACTAAATGAGAAAGAAATTTTAATCGTTGTTGCGATCTATCCTACTCTTTAAAGTTGTCATTGACTTAAATAAATTTTTAAATATCTTATTAAGATAAACCGTCAGGTAACATTGGAGTAATGTCTATAAAGGCAAAGAAGTCACATGCGAGAATTCATGTTTATTGAGAAAGCGAACGAAGCAAAAACTTTTAAAAGATTTAATATATAGGGAGGAATAGTCTCAATATTTTTCATTATTATTGGTAAACCTTACAACATAAAATTTTGGTTATATTTTATCGCCAAATCTTTAAGGAGTGTATTAATATTAGATACGCATATTTGCAAGGGAAATGATAAACTAATAAATTACTTTAGTAAAATTAGATATTTTCATCGTTAACGATTGGATGGTAAAAAGAAAATTGACGAAATTAGAATTTTTAATCTAGATAAATTAAAATATTTTAGACTTAAAATAAAATTTTATATATTCAACAAGTTTTTTGTTATTAAAAACTATCTTAAAAATAAATGATAAACGGGATTTAAAAGTTAGTAAAAAATGCCTAACAAATAGAGTGCAAAATAGAGTATACCAATAAAATTTAACTTCTAATAGGATTGTCCACCTACCCGAAATCGGTAAAACCAATACCACAGCGATGCTTAACCATCTTGTTAGCGACATCCACGAGCTAGCCATGTTTTAATTCAATCATGCACGTTCTCCAGATTGCTGCAAAAAGAAGTAATTAAAATTATCAATATTAACGTTTTACCACCTTCAATTAATTTCTAGACTAGTAATTAAAGACGTTAATACGCCAATATAAAGAGATTGCTACATGCCTGTCGAGTTAATGGAATAGCAACAAAAGTTTCACATAGTTTGCATAACAAAGGCTATCAGGAATAGGAATAAGATATATATATATAGAATATAGCAATCATCGCTATTGTCTCGATTAGAGTTTACTTTCTGCAAAGAATAATTAAGCAAACTCTGCTAGTAAACATGATCAATTATTCAATGCAAGGTTACGCCATCGAATAAAAGTTATGATATAACATCAACAACTTTGTAGCCTAAAAAAGGAATCAAGAATTAATCCATGTCTTTACTATAATATTAAACACGATCAATTATTATTCAATGCCAGAGTTACACCATCCATTAAAAATGATGAAACGATATAAGTACTATTGTGGTCTGGAAGGGGATGATGGATTAATTCTATTCTTAAATCTACGTCATAGTTAGCTCATTGAAGCTAATGAATGCTTTAATGGAAGAGAAACGCCATTCATTTAAAATTACGACATGCTAACTAAATGATGGCTTAGGAATATGAAGGTGAGTTAATTTATTTCTCAATTCCAGTTATAACCAATATTCTAAGCGTAATTCATTAAATATGCAACGAAAGGTAAATTCGTCTTTTCTAGTTCTCTATTTGCTATTAACAGCATTATAGCCTTGAACTAAATCATAGTCTAGGAACGTAGAGATGGCTTAATCCATTCTCAATCCCTACTGTAACCAAAATTCTACCGCGATTCATTAATTTAAATGGGCGATGCAAAAGTTAGATCATCTAGTAATTATAGGTCTCTATACGTTTATGCTATATGCTATAACCAGTGTCCTATGCGTCGTTCATTAAATATGCAAAGTGCAAAGGTTAGTTCATTTATTAATCATGATTCTTTGCATACTACAGTATATGTGTATGCTATAGCCAATTTCCTAGCGTAATTCATTAATTATACAATGCAAAGGTTAGGTAGAGGTAAATCATCTATTATGAATTACAATTCTCTATATGCCATTAACAGTATTATAGCCTAAGAATAAAAGAAGGACTAAATCCATGCTAAAATCTATATCACGGTCATCAAATCCAAGTAATGGGTATAATCACTTTCCGATTATGATAGAATTACAGTATTAAAGTTGTCCGTTATGAAATAGTCTTAGAATTTATATATAAATGTAAATTGCTGAACGATTAATGGTAGATATATAATAAATAATACCTTTTAAGTCATAATGCTTGCTGTATTCAAGCACAATATATGTATTAAAGCTAATATTAGTGGATTAATTGTGTTGAATAATTTCTTGAGATAATCAGTGGACTCAAATGCAATCCACTCTATTCAATTATGACGAAATGAGAAAATATAACGTAATTAGTTTCATTTCAAACTGTCCAGACATCATAGATAATTACCAATACATAATTACAGAATGAGTAATGGATGAAGTATTTAAAATGTTGAATAGAAAAATTGAGTTTTAAAATTTTTTTTATTGTTAATGAGAAATAACAAGTTAACTGCGCAATCATCTTGCTAGTCATAGATTATTCTTTTCTGTCAGACCATCCATTAAATTATTAATAATAGATTATGGCCTGAAAGAGACTCTTAATAGATTCTTCAAACCGAGTCACAGATTACGTCAAAACTTACGCTATTATTTTATTAATATAAATGAGAAAAAATCGATTTATTTATAAGAGGTGCGGCAGTGTACCATCTGATGTGATGTTTAAAATTGAAAGTTCCATGATTAAATCATGAGCTATTTGCCTTGAAAATTTGTTTAGGAATTTTTAAGTTTCTTGCAAAATTTCTATCCAATATCATCAAAAGATTTGCTTAAGTGGTACTATTTATATCGAAATTATGAAACACTTGATACTTTGAGGATAAAAGCTTGATAAAAGTCTATAGCAGATTATTCTTCATGGTGTCAATAATGATTACAGTTAATGCTGACAGTTGCTAACGAAAATTGCGATTTTGCATTGCACTAATTATTTATATAATGATATTAAGCAGGTACCTATGCCGTAAATATTTTGATCTCATCTTAGGTTATTAGGTGAATTGTAGGATTCTTTTAAACATGGCAAATTAAATTATATAAGCTTTCAAGGACTGATCAGTCATCATCACTTCTTTATAGATGCAGTGCGTACATACATACGTATTCGTAAAAAAATTATTCTAATATCCAGATAGACTATCAAGATATTTAAATTTTCATTTGTCTTGCAACATTATAAATATTACATTAATAAAAGAACAACATGCATATATTTTATTTTGCTCTTATTCTGCTAATTAAATCATGTGATTCCTTTTGGATATCGTTGATTAAATTTTACAGCCTCCAAATGATTCATCCTCCGAATAGCTATGGTTATAATTGTTAATCTATTCTAGAAACAGTTCTAAACTTACTATCATATGTAGACTAATATCAAGGCACAGTTAGGAGCGAGCTGAATTGTAGGCTGCCGCTGTTAACTGTTTAAATAATCTTGTAAGCCCTTTAAACTTTGCTGTAGACTTATTAGTCCCTGATTGCAACTATCTTTTCGTAAATGCTATTGCTCAATGGCTTCATTAATTGATTTTTTTGGGCTTTTCTAATAGTAATCTGAATTTAAGGCAATCGCTTTACGCTAATTTACAAAGGTAATCGTTAATCAATTATTCATACTTTGTTGAGAATGGCGCATCAAAATTTAAGATTATTTCTACTTTGTATTACTCGAGAATTATTAGCTTTTGCAGAATTAGTAACTCCTCATTATGGTTATAAATCATCATAGCTACTGCTCTACTTAGATTTCACCAATTTAGATCCGTAACATAAAATTTTCTATATTATATACCACTACTAAGAACCAGTTCTTCATTTATTCGTATCTGTAATATCTGCTATCGTATCCCGAGGAGAAATGATTTCTAACTTGTGAAAAGAGAACAACGCATTATTGTCTTTTCAGTTACTGGCAGTTATAACTCTTGCCTTGCTATTTCCATTAATGATGTGAACAACGATTTTCCTACTGTAAATTTAGGCCAAGTGCTCAAGAATGAACCCTTTCTCACTAAATAAAATATTAAGTTTACAGTAAGATATATTGGGCTTATATTTGAAGCAATATCGAAGGAATAAAAGCTTATAACCTCATTTGTGCTTATTAACGATGCTAGTACTAGGGTTCGCAGTTCTAGCAAGCTACGTCGAATATATTCCTGAGATACTAGTATAACTTTGCTAGTTTGCGTTTTAAAGAGTTATTGCCATAGTAAGAGTACGATAATAATTCCTGCTTGGACCAATCGCATACTTTTACATGGTGCATGTTAATCGTCCTAGATGTGACCAGTTAATTGAACATTTATGCAGACATCATACACATAAATTGGCAAAAAAACAGCCCATAATTGTGCCCTAACACTCTGGTCAGAGTGTTCCAAGTGTTCTATCTATCACTCATAAAATTTCTTTCACTTTAAAGATTTTTAGTGCACAAAATACTATCCGTTAATTACTCGTACATGCTAGTTATTTCGGATTGTGTTCAGATCGGTGCATTGTAATCTTATGCTATATTAGTACCTATCATGCTGTGCTTTTTTACTCTTCTCTTTTAGTAAAAGCTTGAACTTCTATGTCTAAAAGTCCATGAAGTAGAGTACAGAGTTTATTACTGTCAAGTTATGTCCATAATTACTTCGAAGACATTTCATGTAGACTTTATTAGTCGATATCCAGGAATTATTTAAAATTTTGTATTGCTTCCGTCTGGGTCATGCCATTCTTTGTAATATTACAGTATCTGACAGATTATGGAGTAACATGTTAAGGGTAATTTCATGAAATTCGTTTATACGTGTAAATTATTGATGAAAAATGTTCTGAAGGAAATGAATTAGGGGCCTTTCTGTAAGTACGGATATAATTATTTATGCTCAGGCAACATTCGCTGAGAACAAAGTTGTTTTGAGATTAATTAAAAGCGGAAAAGTGAACTTGATTCTAAGAAAAAACAATCTTACCTTATTTAATGGAATTACATAGTAATGGACCCAGATTCAAAAATAAAATTATAGGTTATAAATTGATTGAAAATTAATACATATAATTATCCAAGAGTTACGTTTAGGAATTGAATGATAACGATCCAATAAAACGATGTTTTTTCATGCCATTAACGGAATTATTCAGGCCGTATAGCCTCGATACAGTAGCTGTGAATGCTATTGCGTACTTGTAAAACAACACCGAGATATGCTAAAAGATTGTTGCTACCTTTAGTAGTATAAAATTTCTAACGCTATCTTCTTCACTTCCACTCTGATTCGTTGAACCAATCGAGAATACAGCATTAGCTTGTGCGATATTTGACTAATATCGGCTTTCTACAAGTTAGCCTAGGCGAGTAGCATAGCATGATTTGGGTGGTCTCATTTTATTTTTCTGCCTCTCTAACAGCAAGAAGTCTAACTTCAACAATAGCCTTAAGGTAACGAAATTTTGTATCCTGCTACAGTACAACATGAGACGGATACATATTATTAGCTATTAAGAATAGGTTACCCAGCATTCGATTAACTTATTCCATTATCTTGATTTTGAACGCTTTAATGACTTATAAATTAATCAAGATATTTATAGCAGTTTGATCCTAAAATGAAATGAACAATATCAATTCTCCTCATTGCAGTAATTCATGCAAATAGCTAACACCTACAGTAGTGCTTTATATTTTCTACGTAGCTTAAAATTGTATTAATTTGACATTCCAGGATTGCACCGTACTTGATATAATTTAAGATAATATTTGTACCTCCAAACATTTCTTCTTTCGTGGTTAATCATTTACAAAAACATTACATGAAAGATGTCTAGCTATTTCAAATACCGTAATCTAGTTAGTTCCAGTTTGTAACGAGATAAAGCTACAACTCTAAGTAGAGTAATTAAAGAATGAGAGTCTGCTGCATTGGATAAGATTTGACACAAGTATTAGATTCGGCTTACACAGTTAGGAGCACAATTACTACCAATGAATGATTCGGTGTTTATAACTGCAAATAATTTAATTATTTCACAGCAGCGGCCTACTACAAGCAATTCCTTGACAATTCGCAGAACCCAAAAGTCAGGTGGTATAAGTAAATACAGGTGAGAAGTGAGATCACCAAATAACATTTGTTAAGTAAAACATGTTTGGTATTGTAACCTGTCCACTAAGACATCTAGATAGCCTACTATCCACGGTCCTATATTTTAATAAGCTGGCAGGGGTGACATTTTAAGGAAAAACATTAAATTGGTGGGTCAATTATGATTACAGTATACCAATTTTATTTAATTTTGTTCATTACAACATGGAAATAAGTTATTCTCTGGTCGTATTTTTAAAATACTCCGCCATGGCCATGATTGCTTTGCTTCGATGAGATATTTTATTTTTTACATCTTTAGGCAGCTCAGCATACCTAGCATGGAGGGCAAGAGAGACAATTTCAATAGAGTTTAATTGATTATAGTTAACTTCAGCTAGTATTGTTATTAGTGCAGCGTATAAAACATAGTAAGATATGAAAATATGATGGACCAGTCTATTGCTGGCTATAAGCTATTGCAGTATATCAATTATCACCCATTAAATTCAGATTCTAGAAACAAAGTAAAGTATATCGAAACAGGCATAAGTTTGCATCCATATACTACTCACGTCTGATTATAATCAGTAGGCTGAAATATCGGATCCCAGCCAAAGTCACGAGATCCTCTAGGGCTTACTATTGTACCCTAATTTTAGGTAAATAATTATAAATTACCTTCATCAATTTTGACCTGATACTATCGTCTATTGAAACAGCAATTTGAACAACGTACATCGGTTCGACCGCGAAATAATATTACGTCTCGCGATGGATCACCATTTGAGTAAGCAAACGTGCACAATGCATAAGCTGATTTATCTTCCCAATCGGCCAATAACCGGTGTAATCCTATTACAGTACAGAATAATTCGATTATTCCTTTTAATAGGATACATGAACACCTAAAATTAGTTTTTAATTAGGAACAACGTTTAATGGCTAGGATCCATAGCAATTGCTTTCCTGATCATTGATAGACGATTGATGCAGTTTTAAGGGTTTTACAATATAATATGTTCTGTAATGATATCATACCTTCTGGTCCTATTTTCTGTAGAAACCACTTGCTGTAAATGAATTGTCAATTGATTTGAATGTAAATTTTTACAGGATTTTATAAAGTGGTTGTAAACATTAACTTACACGTAAGGTCCTGGTAAACCTTTTAATGCATTAAAACACAGACAAGTATCTTCAACAATGACTGGCCCTTTGACCTCAATGTAGGAAAAATGAAAACAGATAGGTTAGCTGCAGTTGAATTGCAGTTTAGTAACAACGACAATTTCCAAAACTATAACAGTAAGACAGACAGAGATTATATAGTTTGAGACTATGTTTTTATTGGACGAGATACAAAGCGCTTAGTGAGCTCCGAATGTTTACATATTCAAGTTTAAAAATGTACTGCATGTATCACTTACTATTTGAGCAGCTGCTTTGCATTTCTCTCTTGATATTTCATCGCTTTCGCCTTGGAATTCAGGCACTAATGTCGTAAATCATATCGTAAAAGTAGGGTAAGAAAGATGACATAAATTCGAAATAAATATTGTTAATACGTAATTGCTCGAATTTCGTATAGTCGTATTTTAAGTTCTACGGTAAATGGGACTGGGTTACTAAATCTTACTCTATGAAACATGAATTAAATAATCATACAAGTAGTAGGCCAAACTGCCAACTCTGACAATACAGTCTCTAATATTAAAAGGCTTTAAAAGTGTTTTAAAATTATAACGACAATTGACTAATAGTTGCTTCTTCATGTAACAGTTTGCACGTCCGCTTTCCAACTCTCATCCAGCGGCCTACTTACGAGTAGAAGTACTATTACTTATATATTGATATATAATCATTCAGCTTACAATCAATTTTTCTAGCAGTAAAATTCCATCCAACGCTGTTCCCGAGTATCGCTACAACCTTCAGGACAATGCAATATCAACGATCAGCTAGGCATCGATATACGCGTATTCAAGATTTGTTCAGCTAATCATTAATAACAATTATCTGCTAAGTCTTTATGAAATATATGCCACAAAAGAATCCCTTTAACTACTTTTACTTTTATGCAGTAATTTCGAGATCGAAATACAGATATCATCATATTTGCTATGGTGAAATTAAAGGTGTCAAAATTTGCCTACACAACATTTGAGTAAACTATCATGTCCTATCCACAGCATGCTATTTCGAGATGCAATGAAGCAAAATGCTATTCTCTGCAAACATCACTAAAACCATGCAGCATCAAGTAGTACTGGATGCGAACGCAGAGCTGTCTTATTATACGAGTACGTTAATCAAGCATAACAGTAATTATTTATTTACCTCCTCTAATTTCTTAGCATTACCAGTTATAAAGACTAAGTCTCTCATGATTTTGAAGATCCGGTTTTCAGGTGAGTAGGGAACCATCAACTGCCTTTGCAGCGGCAAAATCTAAAGTAATAAATAAATAAGTCGCAGATTCGCAGTTGTACAGTTCTTAGCAACAACGTGGATTTACACTACAGCACAAAGTCATATTCTGTAAACCGTACAGTATGTACATATTACTTTCCCACTATAGTTTCCGTATTACTATTACGGGCAATATGTACAGTACATTACCAACTTACAGTATATACCTGGCCTCTGTACAGTACATTACCAACTTACAGTATATACCTGGCCTCTGTACAGTACCCAATACTGTACAAAATTGCCGGCAACGGCCTATTGTTATGAACATTCATCTAGCGCTATATAATATTATTAGGGTACTGCAGTACTGAGTCTTTTACCGTAGAATTTTCTCAACAAAAATCACGCATAACCTCATTACACTACCAGCAAATACTTCATATCCGACTCTAATATGTCACTTAATGCTTTTATTCTGAATTGAGGCTAAATACATTTTATTAGTGAGCCATTGCAGTACTTTGTGCTAACTGGAATTTCAAAATAGTGCTCGTATTCCCAGTATAATGTTAGCCATCGCACACCGTATCAAAAGTTTGTCAGATTTCTATAATACAAAGTATACTATGGTTACGCATTCTAAAAACGTCACTTGATTGGCCTGAAGAATCATACCGTATCGTCTAAAGTAAAATGAAACGCCAACTTAGAGGTTCGCGTTATAGTGTTACATAAAACACTGTAATGGACAGTTTCCTTGTTCGAGACAGAAATAAATAAATGATTTATTGCCATTAACAAAGTAAAGAAAATGTAACGGAAATTAATATCATTCGCTACTTCAAATAGAGCACCAGTAAATTACTGCAAAATATGAATACTCTCTAAGAAGCGCTACTATTCTAATTAATTAGCCGTGATAACTTTGTAAGCCAGGCAGCACTAGTTAATAAATAAAATCGTCAATTTTTTGGCAAATCACCAACATCTATATTTCTTGTTTTCACTAAATTCAATTTTTCTTTGGTCTATAATGATCAGAAATCTAAAAGTTACAATTTGTTATCAAACAGTTCTTTTTGATCAAGTTAGTAAACAGACTTAAAATATGGAGGAGATCACAGGACAGAGTCCTTGCTGACAGTCAAGCCTGACTTGGTACACGTATTACCTTTGCAAAAGTAGAATTGTAAAAATGTAGTACGAATACCAAATACAGGAATTGTAATAAACATCAGAAGACGAAATATAGCCTTCAGTCATGTACACAACTATAATTGCTTACAAGTCCAAATAAATTATGAGAAACAATCATCGGTTTCAGAAAGCAACTAAACTAGTCAAACATTCAAAGTCAATAAGAAGAAACTTGAATCTATTTCCGAATGTAATTTTGCTTGCAAATACTAAATAACAGCTCAACAATACACAGCTAGAAACATTTTGGATTCTTCTCAGCTCGATTACAAATTCCAGATTTACTAGTAACTTTCGCGTAACACAAAAAATTTAATCTAAAATTTTAAAACGACATTAAATAAATCAAAATTTTATAAAAAAAATCGCATATAGCAAATTACAATATAACAGTATTTTGTTACTGAATACTAACAATAATGACAATTTGCTTCACCGCAACAACAACGAAATTCTTTACACTTTAATGACCAAAACCTCTTGCCGTAATCAAAGCTATATCGGATTTATCACATAAATATCAAATTAACTGTTAGTCCGATTATTAATTGACCCCTTATTGCATAAATATATAGAGTACAAATACTATCACTTTATTATCAGTATGGTCAAACCTTAATTCTTCATTAGCGTCTAATTCTCTCAAACTAAAAAATGCGAATCTAGGAAACCTTCTGTCCTAAAACATATATACGCGTATTCATAATGATGGGTTAAGAGCACATACATAGAAGTGTTGCAACATGATTTACGAAATACCTGGTAGTCAATAAAAACTCGAACAGGAACCAAATTTGGATGACACGAATGATTAATAAATCTTCCGACATTTCCATATTTACGAGCGTCAATACATTTTAAATCAGTTTCTGTTCGACCCTAGGATGAGAATTACAACAATCAAACCATCTTCCCCCCATCACACTAACTAAATATGAATAGGCCTCTCCAAATGACGCATAAAGATATCAATATGAGTACAATGTAAAATAGCAAAAAACAGCCGAGTAGCCAATTTACTAGGAAAACTGAATACATCATTTTTACCTTAACATCTAAGTCAAATATATAATTGTCGTCATCTGTTCTCTTCTCTGCTTCGCCGTCCGAAATAATTTCACCTACATATCTAACGAATAATTACAGTAAAACTACACTTTCCAATGTATATCCACAAATCAACCGGCTCCGAAAGCTTAAGTAAAAAATCCATACTCGCAAACAAATGTTCCAGCAGGAACATTAACCATAGTTTTGACTCCCCATCCTAAAGGTAACAAAAATATTACACAAGTTTTACGCTTAAAATGGCTTACATAATATGAATCTGAAAGATACATTGTATAAATGACCAAATTTAATTGGAAGTAGTCGTTACCTTTCCTTTTAGTCCTAAATACTTCCAAAGGGATTCTAAGGTATTACAATAGAAAAAAGTTTTAATATCGCTTAATCATGATACGGTTGCCTAACATCGAAAATCTAATAATAACTACGAAAAAAAGGGGTTACAGACCTAATGCCATGTTGTATGACTCTATTTCGACAATTCATCCAGCAACTACACTGTTTATTACATTCATAAATAACTGGACTACCACTAAACAGTAACTCAGTCTTCATTCGCCCTTCCTAAAAAGTAATCAAAGCATACCATAAATAATGAATCTAAAAATATGCACAATCACAAAGTAGACCTATGACTCAATGTCAGTTAATTAATAACGACACCATTATTGAGATTAAAAATTTATATTTTTCAACTATTTCCGTACATTAGTATAAGCAATCATTTCCTTGCTTGTCCGACTTCCACAACTACAAACACCATTATTAGCACAGTCATCCTTACAGTTGCACGACTAAAATTTGAGATAAGAGTGATAAACGGCAAAGTTTAGTAATCGTACAAAAGCTTGATGAAATTGCACTATATTACAACCTGTAACAATTTAATACTGCGGCTTAAACGTTGATACGATGTTTCGCAGTTTTCGATCACATAAAGATAGTCATCTGGTAATGGACAATCGTCGATCTACAAAATATCATAATTTAGATAGACACAATTGATTTAATATAAGTAGTATCTAGTTGATTGTATTTAAAGATTATCTATACAGTATAACATATACATAAACTAACAGTGGCAGGTGAATTGAAACGGAAGATACTTTTGCAAAGTACTGTAGCTTTAATTTTATAGTCGAGTTAACTAAGAAAAGTACGCCGACAAACCTCATTAATACACCTAATCGGAAGTCTCTCCCGACCACGAGATATATCCCTGTAATACCAATTATTGTATGGGACACAAAGGTGATCATTTGAAGTTATTGTACTGCTATATTTCTTAATTTTGAACTCAGTCATTTGATGACTTACGCAGATAGAATTTTTCTCCCAGTGCCAATTAAGACAACTGATGAACAATGATTTATATACAAGGCTTTATATACTTCGCTGCCTTTTCTGGTGCACTACTCCAGAAGTTCACAATTATTTAAAGACAAGAGAAGTGTAAATAAGAAACAGATCACAGATTGCTAGATATAATCAATTTATTAAAGTGTTAATAAAGCTAACCTCGTAAGGCTTCAGATTCCTGAAGTTAGTAATGGTTTGGTCACTGCCTGCTGCTAGTAATACTTCTACACATGCTAGATTTCCTTGCCTAGCCGCAATGTGCAAAGGGGTGTCTCCAAACGTATTCTGTAAATTAACCGCTGATCTATATGCATTTAATACAATGCTCGTGATCATCGCAGATCCATTCATTGCACACCAATGCAAACAGATATTTCCTTCCTAAAATATACACAAATAGTTATTAGTAAAAAGCTCAGGACTACGTAAATTAAGGTTATAGAAAGACCATACATAATCCTTCATAGCAACGCTTGCATTGAACTTTAGCAGCAATCGGACTGTATCCACGTATCCATTATCAGCCGCCCACACAATAGCTGTCCAACCGCCATTATCGATTTCGTCTACCGATACACAATTATTTTCCAACAAAAATGCAACGATTTCGTGGTTACCGTTATTTGCAGCAATATGCAGGCATGAACAACTTGATTGGTCCTGATAAAAAAAGTCAGCTATGAAATACATCTTAACTTTTAAAATTGAGAAGTTAAACTAACTTTAAGATTGGCGTTGGCCTGCATCATATACAAATACTGGACACAATCCAGATGATTATCATGACACGCCAAATACTAGATAACAAAAAATTATCGGAATCGATTAGGGTAGACCGAGAGTTACGCAATCGTATAAATACCTATGTAACTTTAATGAAATTTAATAAACTCACTAAAGGTGTTCTAAGGTGTGTATCAACAGCATTAACATCGCCGCCAAACTTGATGAAAAGAAGAACACATATTAAAACTAAACGCTATCAAAGGTAAGTAGTATTTCCAAAAATACACTTTCACAACTCTTACAATGCATTCCACTTACACTCAATAAAAGTCGTAGACATAACAGATGGCCAGCCTTAGCTGCTACATGCATCGGCGTAGTTTGAGCGTTATTCTTACAATTTGGGTAATAACCCATTTCTACGGTTAACAGTAAACTATCTTATAGTCCAATTTCCGTAAAATACAGCAAAAGAAATACACAAGTTAACTGAACCAACCTAACAAGTTTTTTAGGCTAACAGCATCTCCCGAAGCTGCAGCATCAAAAATCTTCTTTTTTAACTGTAACGACAGGCGGTAGGGTTTTCCTCTTCTAAGCATTTCAAGTGTAAAAATTTAAAGAATTTTTTCATACTGCAATAAATTATGTACCATCAATTATCACGATTAATTTCTCGTAAAGATTTTAAACAATTACTGTAAGACTGAGTCGATAAAAACAACGAGCCCCTACCTTTTATTGAACTTAAACTTATTTGGAAAGCATTCGTCAAACACTGCTGGATAAAAATAGATATTAAGACCATATAAGGTTTTTGATATTTCAAATATCAAAATTTTTTTAACGGTTATACAAAAATTACATAATCCTTTTCTACGACCAATCCAATTACCTATGCTGCACGTAATACAGTAGAGTTAATAGCGTGAAGCCTAATTATATAGTATTTTCACATACATTGTGATAAATTAGAGTTGCTCTCGCAGACAGAACCAGAAATTGTCTCACAAAATCCAGAACTCGTAGTACTGTTCGTGTCATTAGTATTCGTGTCAAGGGCGTTTTCTGTGTTATAAAGGTAAAACAAGGTATTAGAACTATTTTCTAATTTTTGAATCAAGTGTTTAATGCATAAATCAGAGGTGTAAAGCTCTAACGGCCTTATTTTTTTTAAGAGGTACCTGATAATAACTTTTGCTCGTTAAATCCTAGTCCAATTTTGCAATCCTCACCGCAATGTGGGCATTTTAAGTCACATTTGGTGTTCATTACGCAGCCCTTCGAAAAACAGCGACAATTGTATTGAGTGTCTAACGAAATGTAGATACAGTTACATTCTGAAATCCTAGGCGTATCTCTTTATTACCAGATGAAATCTATGACTTTTTTCGCGGCTACAGTGGATGAAATCTCTCTACAAACATCAGAAAATAACTACCTTATTTGATGTACAGACCTAGATATATATGTATATATTATTTTTCTTACATAAATACAGTAACATTTACGTAATACGGCCATTATCTCAACAATTTAGTACGCTTATAGGGAATAGATACATATATACTCTATTCCAACAATACAATAGCCGATAATACTCATAAGACATAATATTAAAAGTGCTAGCTAACCGATTGACAAAATATTCCACAGATAGGACAACATCTATGGTTCTTAAGAAGAACACTGCAGCATATAATAAATAAACAGTGTGTTAGTTATATTGTTATCAATCCAATGTCAATATACAGGGCAATATTGATGACCATCCTTCGAAAGGCCCTTTCGTAATGTAATTGTGAGAGTTACCTATGTTCTTTGCACAAAAATGCAGTCTTGGAGTGTGTAATTTGCTTCATTTCCGAACAATCTGCAACTGAATTACAGCGTATCTACATTGGAAACATCAAATTATGGTAATCATCGTATCACAACTTTGATTAAAGCGGATTTACCGTACTATACATGACATATCCATTACAGTTACTATGATAAAAAACAGAAGACAAAACTTACATTAGCAGATCCTAGTAAGGCCTCACAAATAATAGGAGTTGTACGTTCGTTACTGTCCACAACCTTGATAATGTCATTACAAGTACATAAAAATTCTCTCTAACGTAAAATATACACAAGGCAAAATATTTTAAATAGTAATCGATGAACAAACATTTACTGATTAAATCTGCAGATACATAAAAATCCTAGAAGGAGCTATCTGTACTGTGCTGTGCATATGGTAGTATCGTAATTAGACCGTATTAATTGCAGAAACACACCGTCGAAAAATTGTCATCATCTTGATACAAATTTGAGCCATTGTGCTTCGAGATTTCAAGTTGCCATTTATTGTTCGATTGAACTAATTCGTCCTGTTTGTATTGACACCCTACATCCTTGAATCTTGGGTTAACCATCACCGTTGGAACTTTTTGAGTCCGCCTGGGTTTGCGGCTCCATCTACGACGTCTGGCCCTTTTCTTACCTGCGCGTCCACTAGCTACAGGACGTGGTTTAGAAACAGCATCTAGTTCCAAGAATTAAATAATGCATGACAAATTAATGGCTATACACGTGAGTAAATCGTCTTTATGGCAAGAAAGCTTTTATTTCAAAACGAACTGTACAATTTCAGATAATTAACTTGACGAATTACCAACTTACCAGTCATCGTTTTATCGTTGATATCATGTACGCTATGATATGAACTTGAACTGGAACTGTCAACACTGAATGGTACACTATCCATCTGGTTATAGAAATACAAAGCGTAAAACACAACATTAACCCATTTTAATAAACTGTAAACAGCGCAAAGTTAAGAGCTATTTACAATATTTGTAGTCAAAAGAAACTCATTAGGTACAGTATAGTTAGCCAGTTGTACAATCAAGTAAACCTATTATAGTAATGTATTGAAATGAATCAGGAAGGTACGACTCCACATGACTTTAACGTTTAGTCTATTTTTTCTGACATTACGAATGAACGTATACAGTAATTAATTATAATTTTATCAGCACTATTCATGCATATTGCATAGTACATACTACAGTATACCCATTTATATAATTTATTAATTTACATTTACGGAACATTCGTATCGTTCATGATTATAGCATTTATAGTTACGTCTAAAAACGCTAAACGATCCGTAGTTGAACCTTGCAACTAACGTCGAACAGCCTTCAACCAAGTATAGTAGTAGTTTACAATACGGTGGATCTCCACGATCATAGTACAGTAAACTATAATTACGTGCAGTGACAGGATATGTTGGGCATTTATTTTGGATCCAGTAGTTGTAGATTTCAATACTATACCAAGGACAATTACATTTTTACATGGAGATTCTAAATGTTTCGGAATCCTTGCGTAAACATTTGCCATTATTTAGGGTTCAATTATCCGACGATTAGCATAGCAAGAGTATTTGTTGTAGTTCCCTTCTTATTTTATTACTTTTACAGCTAGAAATTAAACCATACAGTACTGTCTAACGAATGAGCGCGTGAAATTATGGCGCCTAAACCGACATATCGTACCAGAGATAAGCGCGAAAGAGATAAATTTAGGGGGGAATTTCGTCAGCGTCAAGGAACTTCATTGATGACAAATCGACTGATGCAATGGAAGCATTCAATGGCAACCTTAATTCCTAGTTTGCTCCCAACGCCAAAGGTTAAATCCAATTTATAGAACTTGATTTGACTAAAATCGCACCAAGAAGTAGCATTTTAAGTTTCTTCCGACTGCAGTAATCAAAGTAATTGACTACCATACTGTACTCGTATTAGCACAATTGCAGTCGTACTTGCCTTTCAAGACACATACGAACTACGTCGCGATAGCATGAATAGCACAAATTGCTTGAAATGCATTATGTTGCCAGTGCTGTACTAAAATCGTTCTTGATATACAGTACTGTACTGTATGTTTACTGTCTTAACATAAACTATCATAACCGAATGGCTACCATGATATAATAGATAATATAAAATTTGGAAGCTCTTTTTCTATATATTGCCGATCAACAACTGCAAAAGTAGCGTGTTGTTGATAGTGGACAAATGTTCAAATGTTCAAATGTTTGGTTCGTGACAGCAGATGTTATTGCTACCACGAATTGACAGTTTGCACAAAGCATGCAAACTTGAACTCGTTGATGTGCAGCAGAAAATGCCAAATGCAATATACTCAAGTTACTGACAAGAGTCCAAGATGACAGTAAATCCATTTTACATGCTGTGCAATCAGCTCATTGCAAGCATCTAAAGCTTCATTTGGCCATCACCGTACCACTAGTGTAGAAGTCATCCATAGACGGCTGTGAGAATTATCTAGGCTACTCACATGATCCAAACGAGACAGTAAGTTTCTTAAAATGAATAATATTATAGTTAATCCATTTCATTGCATTGCCACTGCCAACATATCAGTGATGAAACCCCCTTACGTTAAGAATGTTCTACAGTAGTGTAGAACCCATGCGGAAGTTTTATGCAGGCAATGAACGTCCAATTGTTGTACATATTTTATTCAATGTTAAGCTGCAGAAACGATGCTAGTTGAGCACTGCAATGTACTGTACAGTATACTAGCAAGTTTTACTTGTAGTAGAATATTCATTCTACTGTATATACAGACGATTACAGTAATCACTTTTTCAACTCTATTGCTATTCAATCAATATACATCCTATACTGCAAATTGGTAAATTGACTCACCGATTAAAAACATGTAATGATCATCAATTTTTCAAGATATATTTCGTCGATCCACACAACTGGAGAATCAACCCGTCCAACACTTGTTGTTATTTCGAAAATGGATTATTCTATCATTGATCCTATACTTTAAGTTACTTGTACAATATTATCTGTAAACTAGGCCATGCCAGTGCACTATATCCAAAGCCTTGAATGGCCTCTAATTCTGGCGATCTAGCGTCCACCGAGAATTGATTGATTAATTCATAGTATTGGCGTAAGCAGTGATGAACAATAAAGAGTCACTTGACTCTTATTGTATACGTGTGTTGCAGTTCCAACAGGCATGATCAGTTCCTATTTTCCCGCGCTATGTATGCGGGTACTGTACGTATCACTCGAAACTGTGGTGAAACTTCCTGTCGTGTCACTGAGGAATGTCATACTGTACAGTGTACAGTAGGCCGGCGCAGCCATAACAACCCCGATTACTCAGATACTCAGCGTCGATTGCTTAACCGTACCAACGCGTCAGATGCATACTGTACATTCCCCAGAAATTCACGTGACCAGCAGCCATAGGTCATGCATGCACATTTATTATGTGTTAGTATAGAAATAGAAATATTTCCTATAGGAAAGATTAGAGAGATATCCCAACATGCCCATCGGCTAAAACACATTCAGCCAAGCAAACGAAGATACATGTACTGATGTACAGTACTGTACAAGTGTGTCTGTCAATCGTGGATAATCATATCATTATTGCATGGATGACCTGATTTTTTCTTCATCGAATGGCATGCAGCTCCATTGACTTGCATGAAGTAATATCATGCTCATGTCAATCGTGGACAGTGACATCGTTATTCCTTGGATGACCTGATTTTCTCCTTTGACTGGCATGAAGTAATATCACGCTCATACGCGATATCAATCGTGGATAGTCATATCGTTATTCCATGGATGACCCTGCTCTTCTCCTTTTGACTGGCGTAAAAGTAATATCATGCTCAAATGTCAATCGTGGATAGTCATATCGTTATTCCATGGATGACATGATTTTCTCCTTTGACTGGCATGAAGTAATATCATGCGCATACGCGGATGTCAATCGTGGATAGTCATATCGTTATTCCATGGATGACTTGATTTTTCTCCTTTGACTGACATGAAGTAATATCATGCGCATACGCGGATATCAGTCGTGGAGAGTCATATCGTTATTCCATGGATGACCTGATTTTTCTCCATTGACTTGCATGAAGTGATATCATGCTCATACGCGGATGTCAATCGTGGATAATGATATCGTTATTCCATGGATGACCTGATTTTCTCCATTGACTTGCATGAGGTGATGTCATGCTCATGTCAATCGTGGATAATGATATCGTTATTCCATGGATGACCTGATTTTTCTCCTTTTACTTGCATGAGGTGATATCATGCTCATGTCAATCGTGGATAATGATATCCTTATTCCATGGATGACCTGACTTTTCTCCATTGACTTGCATGAGGTGATATCATGCTCATACGCGGATGTCAATCGTGGACAGTGATATCGTTATTCCACGAATGTCCTGATTTTCTCCATTGACTTGCATGAAGTAATATCATGCTCATGTCAATCGTAGACAGTGATATCGTTATTCCACGAATGTCCTGATTTTCTCCATTGACTTGCATGAAGTAATATCATGCTCATGTCAATCGTAGACAGTGATATCGTTATTCCATGGATGACCTGATTTTTCTCCATTGACTTGCATGAGGTGATATCATGCTCATACGCAGATGTCAATCGTGGACAGTGATATCGTTATTCCATGGACTGGCATGAGGTGATATCATGTCATACGCTCATGTCAATCGTGGACAGGGATATCGTTATTCCATGGATGACTCGATTTTTCTCCATTGACTGGCATGCAGTAATATCATGCTCATACGCGGATGTCAATCGTGGACAGTGATATCGTTATTCCATGGATGACATGATTTTTCTCCATTGACTTGCATGAGGTGATATCATGCTCATACGCAGATGTCAATCGTGGACAGTGATATCGTTATTCCACGGGTGTCCTGATTTTCTCCATTGACTTGCATGAAGTAATATCATGCTCATGTCAATCGTGGACAGTGATATCCTTATTCCATGGATGACTCGATTTTTCTCCTTTGACTGGCATGCAGTAATATCATGCTCATACGTGGATGTCAATCGTGGACAGTGATATCGTTATTCCATGGATGACCTGATTTTTCTCCATGGACTGGCATGAGGTGATATCATGCTCATACGTAGATGTCAATCGTGGACAGTGATATCGTTATTCCATGGATGACCTGATTTTTCTCCATGGACTGGCATGAGGTGATATCATGCTCATACGTAGATGTCAATCGTGGACAGTGATATCGTTATTCCATGGATGACCTGATTTTTCTCCATGGACTGGCATGAGGCGATATCATGCTCATACGTAGATGTCAATCGTGGACAGTGATATCGTTATTCCATGGATGACCTGATTTTTCTCCATGGACTGGCATGAGGTGATATCATGCTCACACGTAGATGTCAATCTTGGACAGTGATATCGTTATTCCATGGATGACCTGATTTTTCTCCATGGACTGGCGTGAAGCAATATTATGCTCATATGTCAATCGGGGATAATGATATGGTTATTTAATGGATGACTCGAATTTTATCCATTGACTGGCATTGAGTATGGGTTTCCACATGGGTTTACTAAACTGTCAAATCAGACCAGATGCATCACCAACAGAATGTATAGTAGATGTTCATTTTCGTGATCATCAACTTCAAATGCATGTTGTCAGTGACTTCAAGATTCTCCTTGATTCTGTAGAATCAAGAAGTGAGTAGTCCTGAGTGGTCGCACTAGTAAAAGTCGACAACGACTAGTTTTGTAAAGACAATCAGGCATAGGCAATCACTTATTAAGAACAAAACGCTTATAGCAACGGGCTTGCTCATAAGAAATTGTCTTTGATACGTGTACTT